GTTGGTTATGTTTTCTACTTGTATTAAAAATAAATAAATAGTTAAGATTTGTTCACCAAGTTTGGGGGTAGATAACAGATAATGTTCCTCTTTTGCATTTCAGTAATATGTACATAAATACCTATAGTCAGCTACAAAACAGGTTGATCCTTCTCTTTCCACTTTGGCAACAATATCCGTACAAAGTTTTGTTCTGCAGGCATGTATATTTTGTTATCATCTGAACAAATGCTTTATTACCGACATAATAATTAGTAAACACACGTATTACGAAACCCGTTAAAGAGGGTCTATTTGTTGCATATGGATGAAGCATGTCATCAGCGAAGAGACAATATTATGAAATTATGAATCGAGGATACATTTCTTTTTACGATGTATTATTACGTTTTACGTTGTTCTATTGGATTTTAAAATGAATTACACCTAATATTTTATGAGTTTCTACTATAACGTAAATGTACTACCAAAAGTGTGATTGTACATTAATCTGTGATTACCCGATATTCCTATAAAGAACTGTGCTTGCAGTCTAGCAGACCACATGTTTAGATTCAGTAGTGGCATAGTAATGCAACATAGTGTTTTAACTATCTATAAATATAATGTTATTATCAATAAATATTGAGGCAAATAAATATTTACTTGAAAATTATGTAAATCTTTTTAACATTATTCAATACTAACAGTACTGAACTTTGCCTAACTTTACACAAAGGCGTCAGGATTGTAGCTTATTATTACTTACTTGTCGTTTTACTTACATCATACTGTAGTTTTAGTTCAATATTCTCAAAGGGAGTATTATCCTCTAAATGATTCAAAGAGTCCACCTCAAATTACACCTTAACGCAGGAACTAGAGTAAATTCCTCCTCAATAGTCAAGTCTTCATATAAATGATTAATCTTGGTTAGGGTTTTCCCAGGGAAATAAATGAAGGATGTTTTTGTTAATTGATTTAATTGAAGGCCTGTTGAGGCAACATGTCTCACGACTTTGTTAAAGATTTACATTTTTAATTATATATACAGTCCACTCCATAAAGTTTATTTGAATATACCTATGTGAATCAAGTTTTATGCCAAAGTTAGGAGCCCATTTTTAAGAAGTAAATGCGTCTCTTTTGTTTCAGATAAGTAACGAGCGTTCAAATAAAAACGTGGTCGAAGTTGGCTCTGACACATTGGACGTAGGGAGTAGCTTATAGCGACCAACTTAACCTCATTTCTCAACGAGCTGTATAGCAGCTGTCAGTTTCAATAACGTTAATGACTATATAACTTTATTTTAAAGAATAATCGTGATAACAATAACAAACAATTAAAGGAGCTGCGGAAAGTGTCCCCCTCCTTGTTATAACAATAAATTAAAGCAGCTGCTGAAAGTGTCCCCCTCCTTGTTCCAAGCACTTTTCACACCTGTTCCTCAAAGAATTAAAGACATTTTCTAAGATGCTCGGGGTATTGTTAATTTCACGAATCTTGTCTATAAGTCGAGCCTGCAGATGGTTTAAATCAGGAATAGGCAGTTCAAAAATAGTGTTTTTAAGGTAAGGCCACAAAAAGAAATCACACGGCGTAATATCACATGACCTCGGTGGAAATTCATGTTCAGCATTGAGACTTATTAGTCGATTTTGGAAAACTTCCCTCAACATATTCATCGTCTCGCCTGCCGTATGTGCCCTTGCGCCATCTTGTTGAAAGTAAAAGTTTGTAATTTCGTTTTCTTCCAGCTGGTTAACAAAAGGAGCGATAATTTCTTCTCTATACCTTTGCGCAGTAAGAGTACCATTAAAAAAAATAGGTCCATAAATCCTCCTTCGATTGAGAGCACACCAAACTCCAATTTTTTGAGCGTGTAGAGGGCCCTCGACAAAAAAGTTATCTGGTTTTTCAGAAGACCACATTCTCATATTCTGTGAGTTTACGTAACCACTTAAATGAAACCAGGCTTCATCAGAAAAAAAGGTGATATTATGAAGTTCACCGTAGTTGTTTAAAAACCATTCACAAAATACAGCCCGTCGCGGAAAATCAACTTCATGAAGTTCTTGCTGACAAGTTAAACGATAGGAGAACAAACGCAAATCTTTTTTTAACACTGTGTGGCAGGTACCGACTGATACTCCCACCATTTGTGATAAAACACGTACAGAAGTTCTTGGCGCATTTTCCATTATTTGTTGGACATTTTCTTTTAATTCTTCAGTCCGCTTTTTAGGTCGGCCGCTTCCTTCTTTTCTTGTTACACTGCCCGTTTCACGAAAAACATTAACACAACGCTGAACTGCACTTTGAAAAATTTTGTACTCAACAACGCCGGGAAATTGATTTTGAAATTCTATGAAACATTCCTCAATAGAATACTTCCATATTCCATCAATCTTGCGTCCATTTCTAAAGTAGGACTCTATGATAAACACTTTTTGTTCTTGAGAAAACAACATTTTAAACGCTTTTTAAAACGAACATATTCAAATTGATAGCAGAGATATAGCGCTTTGACAGATGACGTTTAAGTTCATTTGCTATACGCTACGCCCTACGTCCAAATTTTCAGAACCAACTTAACCACGCTTTTATTTGAACGCTCGTTATATACTGTTAATTATTCTTCATAGTTAGAGGTCTAACAATAAGGTTAATTCAAGCTTCAAGACATGAAAATAAAACTAATTACTTATTTTCCAATTTTAACATTGAAGAATAAATACTTCACTAAAAAACGTGTGTAAAATTAAGCAATAGGTACATTTATTTTGTTATTGAAATGAGTATGTATTTTGGATCTTTACATAGCATACAGGGTGTTAATGAACTTATGGCAAATATCTTTGCCACATGTCCGTTATGTTAAAATGAGGTAAATACACGAATTTGTGTTGAGTAAAATGTAATTTTAAAATCTGACTTACCTCAACATTGCAAGGAGCCACCTTTTTGAGAACTGCTTATTTTCAAAGATGTTCGATGTACCCACCATTTGCTTGCACACAAGTTTCAGCGCGATGTGTCCAATTCGCTCGCACACGTTGCAACATTGACACGTCCTTTCCAATCATATTACAAGCCTCGACAATACAATGTCGCAGTTGGTCGATGTCACGAACTTCCGTGGAATACACAACAGTTTTCACATATCCCCATAAAAAGAAGTATAAAGGGGTGAGGTCCTGGGACCGGGCGGCCATCTAACTAGGCTGCCGCGGCCTACCCAGCGACCGGGAAAAGTAATGTTTAGAAAATCGTGCACTCTCCGAAAAAAGTGAGCAGGGGCTCCGTCATGCAGTAGGTAACCACACATTTTCCCGAACATTTATTGGCACGCCTTTTAATAACTCCGGCAAGCGATTTTGCAATAAATCTAGATATGAAGCACCGTCTAAGCGTCTAGGTAATTCAAAAGGTCCTATTAAAGTGTCATTAACGATACCGGCCCACATGTTTACTGAAAATTGTTGCTGAAAAGCACTGCGAAGTATTTCGTGTGGATTTTTGATAGTCCAGCGGTGAGTGTTGTGGACGTTACGTGCACCATTTCGACTGAAACATGCTTCATCTGTATCAAGTATTTGCGCTGTAAATTGAGGATTTCTTGCATTCAGGATATTTTGCACGGTACACTTGACAAGGTCTGTGGGCATTTTCGTTTGCTCCATAAAGGCGGCATTTCCAAAGAAAACTTGGAAATACGGCTATTAAATGTACTCTCGAAAAACAACACAGCAATCACTACAACAATGTATTACAAACTGATTTTCGAATACAGTCCGGCTTCATAAGAAAGCTACAAACTCGTAAGAAGTGGTTCTCTTTCGGCACTGATTTTAATTTCAGAATTAAGAAATAATCACAAGGGGTCAGGTCTGGCGAGTAAGGAGGATTAGAAAGGACAGTAAACTGATTTTTGTCCCAAAACTGACGAATTGAGATAGCTGAGTGCTCGGGCGCATTGTCATGGTGCAGGAACCTTGAGTTGCCTCGCTACAACATTGGTCTCTTCTTGCGGATTTTTTCACGTAACCGTTGTAAAACGCCTTGACGGTACACACGGTTCACTGTCTCACCAGGCGAGAATGATGAGGCAAGAATTCAACATGCACAATTCCATCATTAAAGTCGAAAAAACAGTGGGCATCACTTTAACATTGGATTGAGACTGATGTGCTTTCTTGGAACGTGTGATGGTTGAACTATTGTCTTAGTGCCATAGCCGTAAACCCAGTTTTGTCTCCCGTTATGATCCCTTGAATGAATGTTTCATCGTCGTTGGATTGTTTAAGGAGTTGCCGATAAACGCCCACACGATTTTCTTTCTGTTGTTCTGTCATCAAGGAACAAATTTTGCTGTAACTCAATGCGTGCTCAATTTTTCAGTCAAAATTTCATGACATGATTCAATTGGAATGCAAACCTCTTCTACAATTTCTCTGACAATCAATCGACGATTTGCACGCACCAGATCTTTGATTTTCTGCTCGTGGCAGCCATCAATTGAAGTTGAATATCTCTCTGGTCGAGGACCATCTTCAATTAAATGACGACCACTTTTAAATCGTGAAAACCATTCGTAACATTGCGTATAACTCACAGCAGAACACTTAAACACATCGCACTAAAGTAACAATATCACGAAAACTAAATGAGATATAAACAATCCAAGAACATGTGGTTACAGAGAAAGTTATGCGCAACGCAATGCTGCCAATCGCATATCAATAAATATCTCCAATAGCGCGCAATTGGCATAAAATTTGGTTATTTTCTGAATGAATTACAGAAAAACTGTAAAATTATCTGTTGCAACTTTATTTGTATAAGGCAATTAACTATTGTAGCGTCAAAGTAACTAAAGATCTACATTTTTTTATTATTTTACATAAAATTTTTATGAGTATGTAATGGATGGAGCTTTGTCGTACTCAAGGAAAGTGGAATGACAAGCATCTACAAACCGTACAAACATTTTTGACCAAACCTAGTGTGTACGAAGAAAATGCACTTGGCCAGCGATGTGTCGTCAACCACGGGTCACTACGACCGCACTTACGGCAACTTGACGGCGGAGATGCTGGCGGAAAGGACTATAGATGGGCTCCTTGCGGAACACCCTGGCGAGCTGGTAAGGACCGGGTCCCCGCACGTTGTTTGTACTGTTCTGCCGCCCCACTGGAGATCGAATAAAACGCTGCCAGTGGCGTTCAAGGTTGTCGCCCTTGGTGACGTGGGGGATGGCACCGTGGTGACGGTTAGGGCTGGGAATGACGAGAATTATTGCGCGGAACTGAGAAACTGCATTGAGTTTAACGATCTGAGATTTGTGGGAAGAAACGGCAGAGGTGAGTCGTCATCGTACTTTCTTTTTGTTTGTTTTTTTTTCTTTCTTGTTGTTTCGATTTAAACAATGAAAATTTAATGTGATGACTGAGACAAATATGATTTTTATAAATATTTCTACTTTTAAGGTTCAGTTAGAGCAAACTGATTAAAAGCAAAACGAAAAAATGTAAAATAATTAGTTAAGGCATTTGGTAGATTTTTTTTCACATATTTTGTAGTTTGATATACCGGGTGTCTCGGGAAATTTCGAAGATGGAGATACTGGTGACGAAAATAAATCAATTAAGCCAAATATGCCTTATACAAATATTGCTGGTTTCAAAGATACAGGGAGTTCAATGTTTGAATTTTATTTTGAAATTTTTCAATAATTTTGAAAACTGTCAAAGTATGAACAAAAAAATTAACAAATAAAAATTTTTAACTAATTTTAGCGTTTTTTGTATAGGGTGTCAATTATTCCATTGATAAATAGGGGATATATTTTTTATCTTTAGAATTTTCGACATCTTGTTTACGAGATTCAATGTATTTCGTTTTAATATATTGAAATTTGTATACGCAAATATCTCAATAACCAAGGGAAATATCGAAAACGAACAAGAGTATTTTTTTATGAAACGAGATGTTCTTTCATATTTTCAATACACAGTGTCCGTAATTCTAAAGATAAAAAAATATCCCCTATTTATCAAAGAGATAATTGACACCTTATACAAACAACGCCAAAATTAGTTAAACATTTTTATTTGTCATGTCAAAAAACTACTGACAATTTTTTTGTTCATACTCTGACAGTTTTCAAAATTATTTCAAAATAAAATTCAAACATTGAACGTATCTTTGAAACCAGCAACATTGTATAATGTATATTTGGCTCAATTGATTTATTTTGGTCACCAGCATCTCCAGCTTTGATGGTTCCCAAGCTTTCGCAGGTATCCTGTATACATTATTAAAAAGTATCATAAAATGATTATGCACATTCTATTTAATCGGAAGTGAGTTAAATTTTGCGACTTCAGGTGAGATGCTGTACACAATACTATTTCTTTAAAAGACAAAAGTTTTCAAACATGTTTTTAATGTATAACAAAACAATGAAATATCAGAAGCGTTTATTTTATTATTTGTAAATGTCTTGGATCAATCTAGGAGCTGTTGTATTGTTGTTTTTTATTTTCTTTGTTGCAATGGTTGAGATTCATTAAGCAGCTTGATGTGTTCACTATAATAAAACGTATGGTAAAATTCCTCGAACTTTTCATGGGACCATGTTGCCATGGACTCTTTAAGTAAAAATTCAGGCAACATTCATCTAATATTAAATAAAACCTGTAAAACATTGAACATTTCATGGCAGTAGGTTACCATGGAAAGTTCGAGGAATTTTACCTAACTTTTTATTATATTGTTTAGAAATTGCTGGAACTTCCTTGAAATCAAGCAAAAAATTATTTATTGATTTGACGCGATTTTTTGCCATTACCATTTGACTTGATGCCCTTTTTCAATTTGATTTGATTCAAACAAATTGAAAAATGCCAAAATACAATATTAATTCGAAAAATGCATCGTGCATTCGGACATACTCGTTAAGGGCGAATAGCGAATATGTAAAAACTTAAATCTAATATTTATGTTATTCACCAATAGAATATATTTTTTACTTTGATAGTATCTCTAGGTACATTATATTAGTTCAGGATAGAATTTCTATAAGTCTAATTCTCATGAATGTAATGTATTAATATTCTTTAAAATTGAAAAAGTCAAGCAGTTTTGAATAACTTAAATATTAAAGAAAACTCAAGCGAAAACTCACAGGTAAATTAATTCATAAAGACACAAATACACATAGGTAACATACAAAAAAAGAGTCACCTACAATTTGTATGAACGGAATTAACAATTTTTTAGAAGACATTTCTCTTCGATAAAATCAATTAATTTTTTAAACCTTAATTAAAAATTTCTATGTAGTTTGTACATACATTTGGGGAACAGGCATTATGAAGGATCCGATCATTTAATAAATAATTTAGGACATAAACTAAGACTATTTAAATTTAGAGTTACATTTACTAATTAAAGAACTAATTACTACTTCAGACAATAGCTAAATGTGAAATAGAAAATAATGGGATTAAAATAAGTTAAATTACAAGAACTGCTCGAAATGACTACCTTGCATTTTGATGCATAATCTAGCTCGACGCTTCAATGATTTGCGAACTCTTTGGAAAAGTTGCGCTGTGCGATAATATGTCAAGTTAAATGGAAACTAAATAAATAATTGGTATTCAAACTCACACTTAAATCTATAATTTAAGTCGCTCGTCTCTAATCTATTTGCTGTGAAAACTATAAAATGACGGAAAAAGTCGTGATGGAATTCTTATATTTTTCTTGCTCGTAAACGTATCCAAAATTAAGCCTTTAACTGATAAACAAGGAAATAAAAATCGCCTCGCAACTGTTTCCAGTGAGTTTTTCCACATAGGAATTTTTGCACAGTGGAGCTATTGCTCAGCAATAATCTGACAAAGACCTACTTATGCTAAACAAGGGATCGATCGTCAGTGTAACTTTGATAGATGGTGATTAGAGCCTCAGATCTCCCTTTATGTCAACAAGTGGCGTCTTGCCCATTAGAGTTCGAACTTCAGTTTCTGTAAGCACCACCGGCTTATATAAACTAGTCTCATCAGCTTTAGAAGTCTACACAGCATTTCTAGTACATATAAGGGCCCCAGGCAGCGGAATCATTAAGACTGTATAGCCTGCAGGTAAATCGGATCCAAGTTCCAATAATGATTATAACTTTACGTGCCAAATTAAATTGACTGCGATAAAGCGATTGCAGCGTCTATTCTCATTAATTAGCTCAAAATAATCACTACCCTTTGAATCAGATACTGTTATAAAAATTTATAATTCCGTTTAATTAATGGAGGCAACCGTGATGTACCTACTATAATTAAACCACTTTCGTGGAATTATTGATAACGGGGTAATGCCTTTTCTATGAACAAATGCGTTCCAGGATCTGTTAATTAGCCAGTTTTGGTTGAGATGCAGGTAAAACATTATTCGCTACGAAGTCAATTTTTCTCTCGAAGAGACGAAATTTCAATGACTTCTACCAATTACTACCCCGCATTGTCTTAGCTCTGTAGGAGAAGACACTATTTTCGAGATAATGATATGCATTCTAAAAGTTTCTTTTATAACCGTTTCGTAATTATATAGCTTTATAATTAATTTACAATTTATAAATGAACACCACGTTACTTCGTAACTTCAAAATCAATATTAAACTCTAGCAGATACTTTATGGCTAAAACCGTTGGCAGACTATTAGACTCAATTATATTAAGTAGTTATTTTACCAAGTTTGTCTCTACAAAGTTTTCAAACTGTATCAAGTTGTAAGTTGACTATGTAGAGGGTGATATATTGTTCCATTCTTGTCTAGATTTGCTAAGATTTTTTTAATGGCACCACATATAGATAAAAAGAATTGTAGGTGTTTCTATTAAAGTTTTATTTAAGTAGGAAGACTTTTACTATTTGATTAATTTTTTTTCTCTATTTGTACACAGTCAATTATTGTATGTATAAATGGTATGGTATGTTTTCAATAACAATTTAATTTCATAAATTCAACTTAAAATTCATAAATAAATATATTTTATTATTACCTCTCACATCTGTTTACAATTTATGAAGCTGCTGCAAAGAGATCTTTTTGTTTCCACATTTTACTTGGGATTGTTTCATCAGAAGCTCCCTTTTCGTTACAGATATTAACATATAAAATTAATGAACATAATTACATTTTTTTGATTTTCTGTTAACGCCTTATAAGTTAATTACGTCTTTCTATGAGTTAGAATTCTGTAGGTGGTTATAAATAGTAAAAAATATTCTGAAGAAATTCGGAAGTATTCGAGAATAAATAAGATTTCGAAGGGCATGCAATTCCTGATTTGAATTTCTGATTTTTTTCATATGTACGTTCGTCTTATTAAACTCTTATTGATCTTGGAACTTCTTAAAATACAGTCTTATGTTATTTCCAAAAAAGTGTGAGGATTTTAATTTGTGCTACATCTTACTGAGCGGCAATGAAAATTGCGGTGACATTGTTTTTTATGCTGTTAAGTAACGACAAGTAAGTACCAAACATTTCATTACCTCTGTCTATTCATTAGTGGTATTCCAGAGTTTTAAAATTAGTGTAGATTGAGCATCTTTCGTACTTATCATTGTATTTTTTCGTTTATTTTAATTGTTAACTTTACGTAACTAATGAAAGTATTCTTATACTTTGAGCATTTAAAGACGGTCAATTTGAAATAATTGTAACTGAAGAAAGATATATAGAGTATGGTTATCCTGGCTATGTGTAACTAGGCTTAAATACAAAACTGATTATTCATTATAAATATAGGGGATCCGAAAGTTAGGAGTAAAAAAGTTAGGGCGTGGTTCGAATCAACTCAATATTAACGGAATTACATATCCCCCATTATTTTTTAATTCAATATTTTTTGTTAAACATTGTTCTTCATATTTGGTATACTTTTTTTGGTAATAAACTACACCTACAAAAAAGAACTACGGTTTAAGTCTAAATACGTGTTGTTCAAAAGATAATCATGGTTTAAATAAGGAAATGTCAAGGTGATAGAAATAACTTTCCAATTTATGTAAAATTTCAAAAATTTAAGTGTTTACTTAAATGGTTTAGTAGTTGAAAAACATTTGTATTAGTAAAAAGAATAAAGATGTGGTGTTATACCGTATGCGAATGGTTCGTCTGCAAAGATCACCATGAAGAAGTGTAAGGATAGCTCCTATGCCAATGAAGAGAATATACTTTTCTACATATTTAGTATAGTCTTTCCGAAGTCAGTTGAACATGTATAAAAACGCCTAGCAATAAAATTTAATGAGTTTCATAGGCGTTCCTAAAAAAGTTTTCTGCTAAAGG